GCATTATAATCTTAATGTTTTTCAATATTTAATGCATATTTGAATAAATCTGGCATTTTTTATGACAGCCATCATTTAAATGTTTATAGGCTATTTCATATAATCATATAATTATAAAAATAAAAGTGTAATAAAAGTAATAAAAAATAAAAGTGTTATTATAAATAAAAGTGTAATTTAAGTGTTTGTGTAGCTACAAAACTAATGAAGCCTATAGGCTACAAATAGACTCCCATAGTTTACATTAGATTCCCTTGAGAAAATTTGCCATTTATTGCAACTGATATCCAAAATAATCAATATTGAATCGAATCGAAATCGAATCGAATTGCAAGCTTGTAAATTGAAATCGAATCGAATTGTGAAATTTGTTTCCTTTTGTCACCTTCTGCCCAAATATATCTGCGTCTCATTTGACGTTAAAGGGTGCCATGTGCGCTGTATGTTTACGCTTTTGCAAAAGCGTCGTATATGACGCCTTGGGATGAGAACGGGCTGGCCCTCGGAAGAGATGACGACGTTATTGTGACTCTTCATCATCATCATCATCATCATCACTAGTATTGTTGTCGTTCAGGGAGTGTGAGCGTGTGTAACCCGAGTGTGTGTTCCGGAGTCATTAGTGTTTCACGAGTGTCTCTGAACACACTGATACGACAGCACAAGCGCGGGGTAATTGCTGCGCTTCTGTCATGTTCCAGGGCTTTCTGTACAGACTCTAATTTGTTTTTAAGTGTAGCGTGAGAACGTCAGCTCGAAGACAAATCTTTGCTGATACCGGCCTCTGAAATGTATGCCAATTTAGATGATGACAAGGCGCTGTAAATCTGAAGCGCTGTTTGCTCAGTCACACCAGAGATTCCTCTCCAGATCTCGGCACTTTGAAGTGTTATTAACTCACAAATCCCATTGTTGTAAATCAGATCGCAATAATTGGGGAAATAAATTAGCATACGGGAACGGCCTTATTAGCATGCACGCAGAGTAAAATATACGGCTTGCTTTGTGTTTTTGCACCGAGTTCATTTGAAGATTTATAGCATAAATCCTGAATATATTTGTGCGTAAAGCTTCCAGAAGAGGGTTTTCACACTGATCCCATCGACCCGCTGTGAGGAACATTTATTAATAAAAAGGACCTTTTTACACTATAAAGAACATTGGAAAAATTAACTGATATACATTTATTATTTATCATAATAAATGATGAATAAATGACTGACTATTACTGTACTTCATTTTATTTTTATTGTAAATTGTTTTAATTATTTACTGTATTTTATTTTTATTATTATGATTTATTTATATATTTTTTATTCTAAACTGTTTTAATTATTCTGATTTCTTTTGATTATTTTAATTTCTTCCATGTAAAGCACTTTGAATTGCCACTGTGTATGAAATGTGCTTTATAAATAAACTTGCCTGCTTATCAGAAAGAAATGAGGGCTGGGCAACGATTAATCGCATCCAATATAAAAGTTTGTGTTTACATTATATATGTGTGTGTTTATTTTGTGTATATATAAATACACACATGCATGTATACATTAAAGACAAATGTGTTATTTATATATAAAATATTAAATAGGTATATAAATGCATGTGTGTGTGTTTCTATATACAAAATAAATATACACAGTGCACACACATATTTTCATTAATTATGTCCCAGCACACACAAATATTTTCCTTTATGCAGAAAATGTTTGTGATTTTTTTTTTTTACTCCAAATGTTTTTATTGGTGTTAAATGACAATGCAAAATAACACATCATAAATGGTAGACAGTAAAATATTGTCCATTATTTATCCCTTACATGATCTCCCTACTCAATCCAATAGAGAAAAAATACAAATAAATTAAATAGAATAAAAAGAAATAAGTAAAATAAAAATATTATAATAATAAAAAATGTAATTAAAATAATATGAATTGAAAAATATTACATGTGTAATATAAAAATGACATTCTCCCTACAAAGATCCTTCAGATAAGTGAAAATTATGTACCAACGCCAGTTACAGGTGCACAGGGTAATGTTTGTGATTTTTACTTCAAGTAAAAAACTTCAAGACAGTTGTACATGTGGTCTGAGTAGCGATCAGCCATTATATATAAGAGTGTGTGTGTGTGTGTGTGTGTGTGTGCGTTCACTCAAAATCCCCTCTGGACTGATGGCGAGCATCCATCTTTTTTCCATTTGTAAAAGCTCAGATGGCCGTGACCTTCTGCAGATGAGCGGGCGAAGCGGAGAGCAGAGAAATGGCTTCACTTTCATTTATTTATGTTTAATGTGCGGCTGCGGGTTCGGCGCTCTGTTTTAGACCACTTAATGCTGGGCCCGATCCATCCGGTCTCCATTAAAGATGCGGTCCCCTCCGGCAGACCCCTGAGAGCCGCTGAAACGGGCCGAGAGCCCAACACTCGGGAGAGGTTCACACACTCACGGCCGTGTGCAGATGGCCTATTAAAGTTCCTATTAAACACATTTGTCAGGCTGTGTGTGTAGCGCTCGCGCGGCCAGGTGTGTTGATTATAGGCTCGAGGAGTTTGTGCCAGAGCCGGAAATCTGGCACTCGCTCGCCTTCATTTCCCTGTATGATTCAGGATATAATGAAAAAAAAAATTGCAATTTGTGTGTATATATATATATATATATTAGGGCTGTGCAAAAGTTAATTGCGATTATTCGCATCCAAAATAAAAGTCTGTGTTTACATAATATATTTGTGTGTACTGTATATAATTATTTTGTATATATAAATACCTATGCATGCATGTATATATTTAAGAATTATTTGCGCTTAAATTCTGTTTATATATATAAATACATAATCTATATTATATAAATATTTTCTATATGAATAACACATTTTCTTAAATATATACATGCATGTGTGTGTATTTATATATACAAAATAATTATATACAGCACACACAAATATACAGTATAATGTTAACACAGACTTTTATTTTAGATGCGATTAATCGCAATTAATTTTTTCACAGCCCTAATATATATATATATATATATATTAGGTTTACTATTAGCCACTCTGGCTAGAGGTTTTCACTGGCCACAGTTGTGACATCGATAACGTAGGGATATTTTTAATATTATCTCAGAATTTTGGCAGTCGATATATTAGGCTGCTGTCACTTTAAGACCTGATATAGTGTATTAAAGGAGTAGTTTACTTTTGAAAAAACTTTTGCTGATAATTTACGGCGAGATTGGTATCAAAGAGCACACACACCCCAGATAGCAAACTGACATCGAAACAACGTGGAAATATGACATCGAAACAACGTTGATCTGACATTGTTTTGCTCATCGAATTAACGTTGAACCAACGTCAGACGCGTCATTCTTTCAAAACTAACGGAAAATCAATTTGAAATCAACGCGTTGTTTCAACGTTATGAAAGCAAACCAATTTTCGATTTTCATTTAGCTTTGAAGAATGCCGCGTCTGACGTTGGTTCAACGTTAATTCGATGAGCAAAATCAACGTTGTTTCGATGTCACGAGAGACGTCGTTTCCACGTTGATTCAATGTCAGTTTGCTGTCTGGGACACACACAGGTTCCTAACTGAGGACGAAGACTTGGTGTTAGACAGTGTTCTAGATTATCACGTACTGTATATCTGTTACTTTAGCACTGTTAACACAATTACAAACTAAAGTTGCATCAGCCTCCTATGACTGAGTGTCATCATCACCAAACACACCACATCCAGCCTGCAGACTCCCTTAATTAATGCTGAAGAGTGTGTGTGTGTGTTTGAGCTGAAGAGAGAGTGTGTGTGTGTGTGTTTGAGCAGTCGAAGCTCAGGTCTGTCCCAGAAGTGCCGGCGCCTGAGGCAAACGCTCCCAGAGATGGTGTGTGTGTGTGTGTGTCGTGGGGAAGAGACAGTCAGTTCCAGTTCCCCGTGACAACAGCTCTCAGGAGTGTGCATTAGTGGGAACGAGACGTGTGTTTAAGGGCCATCCTGACGCGGTGTAATGGGGTCGCCATCTTGAGTGTCAGGATGAGGACGACCTGTTGATGAACCTGTTCTGACCAACACACTAATGCTAATAACTTTCTTATTCCACATATCTGATTAAAAGGCTGTGACTGATGAAATAAACGTAAGCCTTCTATGATAACACACATCGCAATGGAACGAAACTTGGTAAAGGTTTTGGCTCTTGCTGTGTGAACACAAAGAAGTGAACAGGTTGTCACTCTTGTGTTCCTCGCGGTCAGAGACGCCATATTGGAAATGAATGAGAGTTTCCTCTAGTGGAAGCCTGTGGAACTGCAGCCTGAATAAATGGATTAGAAATACTAGTGCATTTATTTTGGCTTTGCCATTATTCTAATTTATTGTGGAAAGACTTTTCCCGATTTGTTATTGAGAACATTGATAAGGAATTTTCTTTACGTTGGGAAAATGTTTTGTTTGGATTTATTAACGGGGAAAACTTGTTAATCTTCTTTCTTTGTTGACAAAATTTTATATACATAAATGTACATTTTCAGGTCAGATACCACTTTTCAATGTTTTACTTATTGAAATACAACACTACTTTGGGACTATCTTTGACTCTTGTAACAAGAAGGCTTTAAAAACTGTTGAAATATGCAAGTCTTTTAATCTTTTCCTTTGATTTTGTTTTTCTGATTAGTTATATACCCCTGTCTTGTAGTCTTTTTTTTGTTTTGTTTTTGTTTGTTTTTCTGTTTATTGGTTTGTTTTCTTTGAATATGTTTCAATAAAAAAAAACATATAAAAACATATTAAATATGAAACTAAACATTATGATACTAAAATATATTACATTCCTTTCATTGAAAAAAAAAATGGAGAAACCAGAGAAAGACTGAGTGCACTGTTTATTTAAATATTTTATAATTTTGATGTTTTTTTATTTCTATTCTTTCCAAGCGTTGTCAATATTGTCAATAAAGCCGTTGTTTGATCGGAGTGTCACTGATGTCGTTGAAGGAAACTGGCGAAGAAGCGTAAGGAGACGCTGAGCACCACGAGGCAGGAGATGACGGTGATGGTGAACTCCATGGACAAGAGCTACGCGGAGCAGGGCACCAGCTGCGACGAGGCCATCTCCTTCATGGACACACACAACCTCAACGCCAGACGTGAGTCACATGATCACAGCACTCCCGATCTGCCATCTTAGCACTCTAAAGACGTTCAAATGTCATCTTTCACTGAAAATCTCATTCACATTTCATTCAGATGTGAGACACCTGATGCGTACGATCCTGAATTACACATAAACGTGAATGAGGTTTCAGGAAGAGAGTGTGTTTGTGTTTGATTCTGCCCCGCCCACCTGCTGAACTCAGCCAATCAGAGCTCTTCTCTCTTTCCGCCAACTCTAGCGTCGTCAACTCTCTGGTTCAGGACGTCTTTATCCGTTTGACTTTTTAACAATTTTTGTTTTGTTTCAGTTTTTCTATTCTCTATTTGTCATTACATTTTAATTTGTAAAAAATCTGATTGAGCTTTATTAGAACACACAAGGAATTTGTTGTGGTTTTTATTCCAAAAAATGATGTCTGATCAATTTATTTATTTATATATTATTAGTATTATTATAATATATTTTTACCAAAAATTACTTTCCATTTTCATTCCATTTTCTCCCACACGGCCGAAGTCTCGAGGCTCTAAACGAGTCGATATCATGATTGGTTGAGATCTTAAAAGTATTAGTTCACTTTTGAAAAAACTTTTGCTGATAATTTCCTCACCCCCATGTTATCCAAGATGTCCATGTCTTTCTTTCTTCAGTCGAAAAGAAATTAAGGTTTTTGATGAAAACATTCCAGGATTTTTCTCCATATAATGGACTTCAATGGGGTCCAAACGGTTCAAGGTCCAAAACACAGTTTCAGATGCAGCTTCAAATGTCTTTAAACGACACCAGACGATGAATAAGGGTCTTATCATGTGAAACGATCGCTTATTTCAAAACTTAGTCCAAAAATGTAACTTTTCTAAGGACAAATGCTAGCCTTGCTCTATTCTGTGAGGCGCGTTTGTAACGTCACGTAATACGTAATTACGTTCAAAAGGTCACGGGCGACGTAGCCGGAAGTACAGAATCAAAATCGTCCGACATCGTTGTTTTACCTTTTAATTCCTTTTTTTGTAAACGGCGTTTGAGTTAGTTTGCACGCTCAACCTATGCGTTCAACTTGTAAACACTGACTCTGTACTTCCGTGACGTTTTGAACGTAATTACGTATTACGTGACGTTACAAACGCGCCTCACAGAATAGAGCAAGGCTAGCATTTGTCCTTAGAAAAGTTACATTTTTGGACTAAGTTTTGAAATGAGCGATCGTTTCGCATGATAAGACCCTTATTCATCGTCTGGTGTCGTTTAAAGCCCTTTGAACAGTTTGCACTGAAACTGTCTTTTGGACCTCGGACCGTTTGGACCCCATTGAAGTCCATTATATGGAGAAAATCCTGGAATGTTTTCATCAAAAACCTTAATTTCTTTTCGACTGAGGAAAGAAAGACGTGGACATCTTGGATGACATGGGGGTGAGTGAATTATCAGCTAAAGTTTTTTTCAAAAGTGAACTACTCCTTTAACGCCGGACTGTGGGCCGTGTTCAGTGAAGCCACGCCTCTTTGATCACATGACAGCATTGTTAAACACGGTGTGAAGTGGCCTCAAACAGCGATAAATAAATCAACACGGCTCTTATGCTCGCGCGTGACCTTATCCTGCGGTGTGTGTGAGTGACAGACGGGTCACTGCTGTCACACGCCGAGAGAAACGCTTCATCATTCACACACACTGCCAGAGTGAACGTGAGCGGTGAACACAAGTGTGTGTGGATCATTACAGGGTTGTGCATGCATGATACTGCGTCCATAACACTGTTTTTAAGCTCAAAGCTCATGTTTGATATACAGTCAGACCAACATCACTCAGTAACTCACATTATCACAGTTTATTCGCTGTACTTTAGAAAACGGTGATCAAATATGACAGGAAATATGATATCTGACTGGTTTGGTCTGAATTATGTTGAATATCTGTCAGCTGTTAAATTAGATAATAGCAGTTTAGCTCAAGCAATGCTTCATGTTGTTCAGTGTGTGTTTAGCGATTACAGAAAACACACTTCAGCAGAACATCATCAGGAACCATTATTGGTCACACACACGTTTGAAGAATATTTGGGTGTAATATGTCACAATGATCTATAGTGTGTCTGGATGATGTGTGGTTTGACTGTATATAATAATGTTAGTGATGTGAACTCAAATATACTCAAATATGCTTATGACGTCTTGCCTGCTTGTTTATTGTGAAAGCTGTGTCGTCGCCGTCCTCGTTCACCGTGAAGACTAACACACTGAGCACATCCGTGCCCAACTCCTACTATCCAGGTAAAGCACGTCAGAGTGTGTGTGTGTGTGTGTGTGTGTGGAACGGCTCCGCTTCGGTCACTTCTGAAACCCCATGAATCCACCGAGTGTGTGTTCTTGTGTGTTCTTCTGGCTTTGAGCTCCTCTGAATGTCACACACACACACACGGATAAAAATATCTCTTTCAGAACAAATACCATTCAACAGCATTATTTAGACATTTTATGTGCAATAATATTTGACTATTTATGTCCTTATTTATTACTAATTATTGCACTGTTTTTATTCTTGCAATGCCTATTCTAGCTATTTATTGACGAAGCTGCTCAGACACACACCCTAGTTTCTAATGTTTTCATTGGTTAATGTTTTTATCTCGTGTTTTGACCGGGACACTAGTACTTAGTTTCGTTCCTTCATGTAAATGTGTGTGTGGAATGACAATAAGAGACCCTTGAAGCTTGAGAAGTTTGGGGTCATGCATTAAAAGACGTAAACTGTTATGCAGCACAAGTGTGTCCAACACTGATAATAATCATAAATCAGCGTCAGATCCTCATATTAGGGTGATTTCTGGAGGATCATGTGACACTGAAGACTGGAGTAATGATAGTATATTCACATAGAGAACAGCAGATTTACATGATAACAATATTTCACATTTTTACTGTATTTTTGATACCGACCCCAAACTTTTGAACGGTAGTGTGAACATTATGGGCAAGGAAGCGAACTATTAACATGTGATCGCTTGAACTAACTGTGTCCTGCAGTCTGTATCTCTAATGTGTGTGTGTGCACGAGTTCTGTCTCCTGTTTGACTTCACTAATCTCTTCTCTCTCCTCTAAACTCTGCTCATCTTCGGGCCGCTGAACAGACCCGTTTGTGCCGACCGCCATCTTAGGTGAGGAAACCTCCTCTCTCTTTCACACACGATGACGATGAGAATACACTCCAGAACATGAGCGTCTTCCTCAGTGTGTCGGTCTCGCTTTCCAGAACACACATCTAAACATTCTTAAATCCAGATACATTAACAGGAGAAGAACAAAGACTGAAGACGATTCTCTTCTCATACCGTTTTATTACACGGCTCTGTGGAATACTCGATTCTGATTGGTCAATGACACATCCAGTGGTTTATTATTCCCAGATAACAACAGAGAACAGAAACTCGGGCTCATCCGGGCCACTGAAGTCTAGAAACGCTATTTCTGAAAGATTTGCTTACGGAAATATTAAAACTATTTATTCATGTTTTTTTAATTATGCTTATCTCCGAGATTATTTATGCGTTGAAATGCTGTGTAATGCGTCGTATGACTGAATACCGTATCTCTTAAAAAAATATTTTTAAGATTTGTTATCACAACATATTTTCTTTTGTCAAACCAACTTTATAATAATTTACTTAGTTGAGATAACTTATTATTTTGAGTTTCTGATGATTAAATTAATCTCCTCCATTGTATTGACTCACTTTTTCCAGTTCAATCAACTTAAAATTTTAAGACAACCAGGTTACTTACTTTTTTAAGTTAAACCATCAATATTTTTTTAAAGTGTAGTAATCACAACATTTTTTCTTTTGTCAAATCAACTTAAATATTTTTTTTAGTTCAGATAACATATAATTTTGAGTTTCTGATGATTAAATTAATCTCCTCCATTGTATTAACTCACTTTTTCCAGTTCAATCAACTTAAAATTTTAAGACAACCAGGTTACTTACTTTTTTAAGTTAAACCATCAATATTTTTTTTAAAGTGTAGTTATCACAACATTTTTTCTTTTGTCAAATCAACTTAAATATTTTTTTTAGTTCAGATAACATATAATTTTGAGTTTCTGATGATTAAATCATTCTCTTTCATTGTATTAACTCACTTTTTCCAGTTCAATCAACTTAAAATTTTAAGGCAATCAGGTTACTTACTTTTTTAAATTAAACCAACAATATTTTTTTAAAGTGTAGTAATCACAACATTTTTTCTTTTGTCAAATCAACTTAAATAATTTATTTAGTTCAGATAACATATCATTTTGAGTTTCTGATGATTAAATTAATCTCCTTCATTGTATTGACTCACTTTTTCCAGTTCAATCAACTTAAAATTTTAAGGCAATCAGGTTACTTACTTTTTTAAATTAAACCAACAATATTTTTTTATAGTGTTAATCACAACATTTTTTATTTTGTCAAATAAACTTTATAATAATTTACTTAGTTGAGATAACTAATTATTTTGAGTTTCTGATGGTTAAATTAATCTACTTCATTGTATTAACTCACTTTTTCCAGTTCAATCAACTTAAAATTTTAAGGCAACCAGGTTACTTACTTTTTTAAATTAAACCAACAATATTTTTTTAAAGTGTAGTAATCACAACATTTTTTCTTTTGTCAAATCAACTTAAATAATTTATTTAGTTCAGATAACATATAATTTTGAGTTTCTGATGATTAAATTAATCTCCTTCATTGTATTGACTCACTTTTTCCAGTTCAATCAACTTAAAATTTTAAGGCAACCAGGTTACTTACTTTTTTAAGTTAAACCATCAATATTTTTTTTAAAGTGTAGTTATCACAACATTTTTTCTTTTGTCAAATCAACTTAAATATTTTTTTTAGTTCAGATAACATATAATTTTGAGTTTCTGATGATTAAATCATTCTCTTTCATTGTATTAACTCACTTTTTCCAGTTCAATCAACTTAAAATTTTAAGGCAACCAGGTTACTTACTTTTTTAAATTAAACCAACAATATTTTTTTAAAGTGTAGTAATCACAACATTTTTTCTTTTGTCAAATCAACTTAAATAATTTATTTAGTTCAGATAACATATCATTTTGAGTTTCTGATGATTAAATTAATCTCCTTCATTGTATTGACTCACTTTTTCCAGTTCAATCAACTTAAAATTTTAAGGCAACCCAGGTTACTTACTTTTTTAAGTTAAACCAACAATATTTTTTTACAGTGATCTTGCCGCTGAAACTGATCTCTCCACGGACGCTTTAAAAAGCCAATAAAATATTTCAACTCAGATCAATATTTTATGTCTAATTATTTACATTAAATGTAGTGTCTACACTACGGATACACTACACTATCAGACTAAAGTCTCAAATTATGTTGTGCACTAAAATTAATGAACGATATCTGCAATACGTTCGTGTTGGTTCTGTTTTGTTTACTAGGCTGCCCAGAACAGAACCAGACCGCCATTCCTAACTGTATGCTAACTGTCAATCATATTTGACGATAATGGTCCTGACAGAATAATGTTCAAGTAGCCGTGTAATAAGTGGGATAATGTACATCCAGCCGGTTGTGATCTCAGAATAAACCCCTTCAGGTTGATGAAGACCTGATCCTGAACACCCCGTCGGGTTTATTCTGAGATAACAACTTCAACACAGACTCACTTACAAGAGTTGCTTCTCCAGTAAACGTATCTTGATTTAAGAATGTTTTAGGTGTTTGTCCTGGAAAGCGAGACCGAAACCTTGAGGAAGACGCTCGTGTGTGTTCAGTGTGTGTGTGTGTGTTGTTGAGAGACAGACAGGAGGTAGATCTGACGCTTCTCACATTCATTCCTGCCTGCTTTTCTCTTGTGTGTGAGATCTGAGGTTATTCCTCCCGAGCCGAGGCTTCACCCCATCCCATCCGCATTCGGTGTCGTGCGTGTGACGTCACGTATGTCTATGACCTCTCATGTGCATGGACAGATAATGTGGACCGGATGAGGGGGGAGTGACAGTGTGGCACGATACAATAAACCAATCATTTCCATTCCTTAGTTCGTTATGCTAGTGATGGTTTTTAAAACACACTTTCTCATTATAACGTGCATGTGTTTTTACAACAGAACTCAGTTTTACTATCATTTCGGAATGGCTGCAGTAGACTATATTAGATATTATGTCTTGTTTTCTGGAGGAATTCATCAAAATGTAGTGAAAAAAAGCAAAATGATCTGCCAATGGGGTGGAAACATAATCTTAATTTGAACAGAAACGCGGCTCTTTTTCTGACCCCGTTGGCAGATCATTTTGCTTGTTTTAAGCAAAAAAACTGACTTTTTTTTATTTCCCCAGAAAACAAACTTAATATCTTTATTTTACTACTTTAGTAAATGCATCTTGATTTAAGTGTTTATTAAAGAGTTAAATGTTTGATAATTTGGACTGGAAACAAGACAAAAATACTAAGTAAGAAAAGCATTTTTTGCAGTGTAGAATATATTAGATTGGGTTCAGGAAGTATATTTCCCATTCATTCAATTCAAAGACTCAAGACTGCGTACTAACGAGGGAATTAATGACCTACTCGTCCCATAAAGCACTGGGGTTTTTTGTCTTAAAAGGACGGTTCACCCAAAAATCATTATTTACTTTGGTCCCCATTGACTTATTATTTGTTGCATCAGAGAACACACATGATGACCATTTTAGAGTGACTTTAACTTTCGCTTTAAGTGACTTTACGTAGGCAGCTATTTAGTTATAAAACGGTCTTTAATTTTTTTTCTGAATTGCATTAATTACAAAATGATTATTTTTTAAGCGCACTGATTTAGGCAGATCTTATCCCCGCGACACTCTGAAGGTGATCAAAATAATTAAAGCTGTTTTACAAAAAAAGTTAGCAAAATAACATGGACATTTAGTGCAAGATCTGCATGAAAAGTAACGCTGAAACAATGCCGCAAAATTTAAATCAATTATAACCGTGATTCATGACGTTGATTCACCTGTTAATAAATCTTTAAAAATGTCAGTTATTTTATTGTTAGAAAAAGGTTAGCACTAAATGGTTGGAAATTTTTTTTTACAAAATGCTTTAAATTACTGCAAGATGTGTACGAGAAGTAAAACGTTGATATAATTAGCGAAATTCAATACTGATTATACTGTCATTTGATGTTTCAGCGTTGGAAAAGTGTTTAGTGATTAGAGCCCGTCCGATAAAGGATTTTGAAGGCCGATACGATACAAATATTTTTGGGTTTTAAAATCCGATATTCCGATATATCGGCCGATATCTTTTTTATTTATTAAATATTGTTGGATTTCACACACGTGTAAAAGAAAAGCTAACTTTTCTGCACAAGATACGTTTGATACTTTTTCTCTATGTCTAAATGTTCACTCCTCACAAGTATAAATTATATCTAGAGATATGCTAGTTATAAATACGGTAATCATGGCTTTATTTAGGCAGAAAACGTTCATTGTGGTTTCCAAGCTCATTAATGTTAATGTTAGCGGTCTTCCACTGATGATAGTGGCATTAGCTAGCTTTGTGGTTAGCTAGTCTATGATGAGCCATGATTTAACAATAGATAACATCATACTGCAAATTGTAAAACATACATTTTCAATATAACAGGCCAAGGAGAGATGATTGAAGCGTGTTTCGTCCATTTTTATTTTATTATTTAAATATTCATTTATCGGCCGTAATAACTGCCGATACCGATATTATGGAAAATGCCTAATATCGGCCGATAATATCGGCCGGCCGATATATCGGTCTGGCTCTATTAGTGATAGATTAATTTAATTCACTTGTAAATCAACACTGAAAGAAAATAGAACGTTGAAACAATGTTGCAATATCAACATTCATTCGATCTGCAGACTTGAAAGCAGTTCTAACCGTGATTCAACTATGATGTGAAAAAATCTGTTTAAAAAATGATGTTAATTGATGTTAAATTAACAACATAAATCAGCATTGAAAATTTCTACAGAAAATAGAACGTTGAAACAATGTTGCGATATCAACGTTCATTCGATCTGCTAATCTGAAACTTCAACCTTGACTCGATTTACTCATGAATTAGCGGTGAAATATGGTTGAAATAATGTCGGTTGTTGCCTCGATACTGAAAACAATGGCATTTAACGTAAAGTGGTGAACAAAACACTTCCGAATCAGTGTTGATTCGATTTCCCAAACTGCAGCCGGTTCACGACGCGGCTAACCTCGGCTAGCTCTCCGGAGAGTCTTCGCCACACAGACGTCGGGTCTAGAATGGGATTTTTACTTCCGGCCTCGTCTCATTCTCTCATGCGGACGGTAGTCAGTCAGAGCCTCAGATAGTCTTCATGTGTAGCTGCTCTTGCTTCAATCTATCTTGTTGCTTACACCCTTTTTCCTCTCTCTTCCTGTTTTCTTTCTTCACATTTAACCTGTTATGTATCCTCTTAAAAAGTGCCCATTAATGGTAAGTCGCCAATCGGCCCTGTGTTTTTTGGGGGTTTACTGTCAGTGGGATCCGCCCCCCCTCAAACCGTGTCTCTCTCTTTCTCTCTCTCCCCCTCTCTCTCTCTCTCTCCCTCTCTCTCTCTCTCTCTCTCTGGCATGGCCTGGTGTCGCACGCCCTCCCCGTCCACCTGTGCAGACATTAGCTAGCATGGCCTCCTCATACACACATCCTCCTCTCACCTGCATCCTCACACAGCAGAACATGCCTTACGGAGCATTTCTGTCTTGTTTCCAATGCAAATATGTAAAAATCAAGATGCATTTACTAGATGAGTAGAGATATTATGTCTCATTTCTAGGGGAAAGCTATCAAGCTAAATTATCTGGCAATCTTGCTTCCGTTTGAATTAAAATCATTTTTTACCCCATTGGCAGATAATTCGCCTTGTTTTAAACCCCATAATATGCTCATCTAGTAAATGCATCTCGATATTTGGCCCGGAAACGAGGCAGAATCCTAGGTTGGATCATGTTTTGGCTGTGCACATGTGCTTCTTTTGCTTTTGATTCTGGTCCCCAACCCTGTTGTGAAGGTCCACATCCACACATCACGTAACCCTTCATTCGGACACCATTCCACCATTCGTGCGATCTCTAGTAAGCTAGTTTATGAGAACAGACGGCTTTGTTTTGGTGTGTATCTTGGAGGTGCGCGCTCTGTTTATGCACATGTCGGATTAGAGTCGTTGTTGTTGTTGTGCTCATCTCTTCATGTAGTCGTCGTTTAGCAGCCGTAACCCTTTGTTCGTCCATGTTTGCTGACCGTTTTTCTGTGGTTTTGGTGTAGATGAGAGCCAGACGATGACCAGCGAGACCAGCAGCCTGGTGCAGTCACACACACACTCCTATAAGAAGCGCGAGGCGCTGGACGTGCCGTACCAGACCGGACAGCTTCACCCGGCCATCCGAGTGGCCGATCTCCTGCAACACATCACACAGATGAAGTGTGCCGAGGGCTACGGCTTCAAGGAGGAGTACGAGGTGATTCTGCGGGACACGCTGAAAACATGCTTTCCTCACGGGGGGATTACAGTCCAAATATTAAATCGAGATGCGTTGACTGGATGAGTAAAACAAGCTAACTTATCTGCCAATGGGGTTAGAAACAGAATCTTGTTTTCTATAAAAGAGGAAAACGTAGAATTTTTATGTCATTTTACGCATCTTGTAAATGCTTCGTGATTTAAGAAGTTTTAGACTGGAAACAAGGCAAAAACACTAAGTAAGAAAAGCATTTTGTGCAGTGTACTCTCTTAACCCTTATGCTGCATTAGGGACATTTTTGGTCTTTTGCTTAAAGTTTAATTTCTTTGACCATTTTGGCTGTTTTAATGCAAATGGTATGAAATTTGGCAAAATTGTGACTTTTTGGATACATAAAAATGTGATCGCATTTTGCAAAATATGTATAACACACACACTGTGTAGATCAAATAGTAACACTCAGCACCATAAAGACCAAAAATGGCCCATTGAAACCCATTAAAACGTTGTTTAAATCTGAGGCTGTCAGTAATACATGAAACATGATTTTAGCACAAACATCCTTTCATTTTGAAGCAAAAGCATTATATTTGCATTATATAGTGTATTCCACCAGATGACGTCACTACATATTTATTCCCTATGGGTGGAAATGCACCTTATTTTAGGCAATAGGCAATGTTTAATAGGTGGCCATTTTTGGTCTCTAACGCGCTAAGTGGGATTTTTTGCAAAGTGGGACTGTGATAATCCAAATCTAAAGTTTTTTCTTTGCATTTAGTTTATTGAAAATAATTGAATTTTTGTGTTTTTTCCTCTTATACAAATCGATGGTTTCGCAAACAAAACTGGTAATTAAAGGGTTAAAATCCTGAAATTGAATACATTTTTGGTAGTTATGATGAGGACTGATGCTGGTTAAAAGATTTAACTTGGTAAAAGTGGAAAATAATAATAACATATAATATTTTAGGCAATGTTTAATATGTGGCCATTTTTGGTCCTTAATGCACTCAACGGTGTTAAAAATCTAATGCAGCACAAGGGTTAATATCATTTGTTTTGTCACGTGTTTGTGCATCACTGCATGCTGTTTGCTTATTATGAATAATTCATCCTGAAAAATCATTTAAAGTGCCTCTATTATGCATTTTTGTGTGTAAAAAGTCTGCAAAGTTTTAAAGCTCAAAGTGCAGATAACGTTGTTCACTAAAAGAAAGAACTGATTCTGAACTAAAACGAGTAGTTTATAATTCCACTTTCTGTTACAATGTAGCTAATTAGCATAACGCCCGCCTCTGGTGTTGATTGGCTGAGCAGCGTCTTTTAGCCCCGCCCTCAAACACTAGTGTATCTGAGACTGCTGCTCGTGTTGTTCAGTGTGAGTGGAGATTATGAGGACATTACAGTGTTTCTGACCAATCACAGCAGAGCAGCGCTCAGAGAGGCGGAGCTTAGAGACTGAATCTACACAGAAGCGTTTCAGAGCTGAAGCTGCAGTGGAGATTATGAGGACATTACAGTGTCTCTGAGCGTGGGTGAATGTGAATCTGTCGTAGGAGACTCAGAAACAACATTAGGAAACTTTAATAGGGCACTTTAAAACAATGCCATTCCAAACCTGACTTTATTTCTTCTGGGAAACACAAAAGGAGATGTTTAGCAGAATGTTTAAGCTTCTGTTATGCATACAACAAAAGGACTTCTTTGTGTTTAATGTGAAAAAAGTAAAACAGGTTTGAAACGACATGAGGATGAGTAAATGATTCTACTTTTCTTTTCATGTTCACAACAAAAATGTATGTTCTTCCTCGGCGTTCCTCATTTTCCAGCACAAACATCTAAACAATCTTAAATCAAGATTCATTTCCTTGAGAAGCACAATGACTAAAGATAAGAAGTCTCGTTTACTAGTAAAATCTATCAAAATAAAGTGAGTTTGTGCTTAAAACAGGAACAGAACAATCAACTTAATTCAGAGAGAAAACAAGATTATTGTTCCGACTCCACTGACAGATTTCTGTTCTTGTTTTAAGCACAAACTCACTTTATTAGTAAACAAGATTAGATGTTTGTGCTGGAAACGAGACAGAAGACCGTGATCTCATGATCTCCGACCCGCTCCAGTGTTGGTTCTGTCCCAGCCCGATCTCCTCACACACACACACACACACACTGATCCACGGCTCTGTGTGTGTATGTGCCATCCTCTCACTCACAGCTTGATCCCTCACATCTCAATGAAGTAAATATTTCAGGCGAGCCGTGGCTCGGAGCCGCCCCGAGGGCTCGTTCATTATGGATAGAGATTGTTTTAGAGTTGTGTAGATGTAGAGTTCAGCACTCACTCCATCTTGTCTTAACTGTGTTTTTACCCTCCATGTTGAATGACAGTCGCACAATGATTGAGATGACCAGCACTAAAATATTCCCTCCTTATCTTTCCATGCTTCTTGTTATTCCATACATTAACTTTGGAAAAGATCAACGAGGTAAGCAAGCCTTTCTGGATGTGTGTAAGATGTTCTGCTTGCTTGTTAGTTGCTGATATGAAAGATTAAGCCTTAAAGCACTCATTGACCAATCATAGCTAATTGATTTTTTTTGTAATTTGAATGGGAATACAGCATCTGCGCCTCAGCAGCACATTTTAAACCATGTGGGAAATATAGTTGCAGAGTTACACAGAGAGAAGGATAAGACTTAGTGGCTCTTATTTTGTCTGTAAGAAGTTTGAGTCAAGCCAATGCATAATTGAACTATTTCTTAAAGAGTAACAGCTTTATACAGAACCGTCGTGTTCATCGAGTGACAGATTAATACGCATCTGAAGTGAAGTGTCAATAACAGTGTCGGAGTTACACACTTTATCAATTATGAAACGGGAGCTCCACAGATTCATTTCCAGACCACAAACCACACATCAATGGATATTATTCATTGAGTTATGACTGGTTTTGTGGTCCAGGGTCTCATATTTAAAGTTAGCGACTGTAACCAAGGGTGGGGGCGGAGCTTAAAGGGTTAGTTCACCCAAAAATGAAAATTCTGTCAGTATTTACTCACCCGCATGTTGGTCCAACCCCGTAAGACCTTCGTTCATCTTCGAAACACAAATTAAGATATTTAAGATATTAAGATCGCTCCTGCATACTAGTCCATCGGCTTCTTGAGGGAATGACTCGAAAAGTCATTAAAGACATCCTTAAAATAGTCCAAGGGACTACAGTGGCTCAATTTTAACTTTATTAAACGACGAGAACACTTTTAGTGCGCAAAAACAAACAAAAATAACGACTTTATTTCAATTTCAATTCTCCATGGGCCTGTAGTCAGTTAACGTAGTGTGATTGCGTAAAGCTACGTCACACGTAGGCTCACTATTGGGCGACGCTGGTCATGTGTGTGTGATGCGTGTGATGTACAATAACAGAAGCTTACGCTATTAAACTAGTAACCTGACTCGCGCAGAGGGAGAAATAGACGAATAGTTGAAATAAAATCGTTATTTTTGTTGTTTTTTTGCGCACAAAAAGTGTTCTCGTCGTTTGATAAACTTAAAATAGTCACTTGGACTATTTTAACGATGTCTTTAATGACTTTTCGAGGACAGCAAGAGTCATTCCCTCAAGAAGCCTATGGACTAGTATGCAGGAGCGATCTTAATATCTTAAATATCTTAATTTGTGTTGCGAAGATGAACGAAGAACATGAGGGTGAGTAAATACTGACAGAATTTTCATTTTTGGGTGAACTAACCCTTTAACGCAGAGGTCGCTATGGGCAGAATGATGCGATGATCATCACACCAGAACCACCGTCGACTCTGGTTCCTTCTCTCCTCCATCCGCAGTAATGATGCATAACAATACAGAGAAGCTGGGAATCGACAACTGCATCCTAGAAACAACATGCATTATTAAATCTGATGCTTGTTTTATTCATGCTTGTTTTGACATCTTCCAGAGAGCGAGTGTTAATCGGCATCGGTTTCGGCACAACTGTTTATTTGACTTGAGTTCTCCTTCATCCACAGCGCCACCGAAGGACGAGAAAGGTTAACGTTATTGAGTTTGAGTCTAAAGGAATCCAGATCTGATTCTTAGAGTTGTGAGTTTGAGCTCAGAGTTCCAGGCCTGCGTCTGATTGGCTGTGGTTTGGAGGCTCAGCCAATCACAGCGAGTGTCCTCGAGGGACAGAAACAGCCTGGAGCTTCCCATCAGCCATTGCTCCATCTCGACCCATGAAGCTTATTTATTCAGCACCACATTTCTATATTTCAAAAGATTATTTTCCATCACGCACAGTCTGAGAATCATCATTATTCTCTGCAGTGTGTGTGTGTGTGTGTGTGTGTTTCTGCATCCACATATCCTCACGGAAGCGGCGCCAGGGTTTGTTTGACAGATTCTTCACTTCATAACGCGCCTTGGCTTTGTAAACGCTCTCGAGGCGTGTGAATATTTAAATGTGTGTGTTCTGCTGACTCCAGCGTCTGACACCCGTCTCCTGCAGTTTGACTCAGTCGTCATTATTCTCGGACTCCCGCATCTCATTATCTGAAGGTGCTTGTCACTCGTTCGCCCGCTTCCACACACTGTCACTTACGAGACGTCAAAGGAGCAGCGTCTCCACACACACACACCAGCACACACCGGGCCGCGCAGAGCAAAACACGCTGGAGAAGAAGCGTCAACATGCATTACATCGCTTTTAATACGTCTCTGTTGATGTGCGAGAGCAAATGCAAACAAAATTAAAGCTGCGAGCAGCATTTAGCGGGGTTCCAGCATTTAAAACGTTAAAGGATTAGTTCACTTTTGAAAAAACTTATGCTGATAATTTACTCGTCCCCGTGTCATCCAAGATGTCCACGTCTTTCTTTCCTCAGTCGAAAAGAAATTAAGGTTTTTGATGAAAACATTCCAGGATTTTCTCCATATAATGGACTTCAATGGGAACCAAACAGTTTAAGGTCCAAATGAGAGTTTCAGTGCAAACTGTTCAAAGGGCTTTAAACGACTCCAGACGATGAATAAGGGTCTTATCATGCGAAACGATCGGTCATTTCAAAACTTATTCCAAAAATTTTACTTTTCTAAGGACAAATGCTAGCTTTGCTCTATTCTGTGAGGCGCGTTTGTAACGTCACGTAATACGTAATTACGTTCAAAAGGTCACGGGGACGTAGCCGGAAGTACAGAGTGTTTACAAGTTGAACGCATAGGTTGAACGTGCAAACTAACTCAAACGCCGTTTACAAAAAAATGAATTAAAAGGTAAAACAACGATGTCGGACGATTTTGATTCTGTACTTCCGGCTACGTCGCCCGTGACCTTTTGAACGTAATTACGTATTACGTGACGTTGCAAACGCGCCTCACTCACAATATATTACAAGGCTAGCATTTGTCCTTAGAAAAGTTACATTTTTGGAATAAGTTTTGAAATAAGCGATCGCTTCGCATGATAAGACCCTTATTCATCGTCTGGTGTCGTTTAAAGACATTTGAACAGTTTGCACTGAAACTGTCTTTCGGACCTCGGACTGTTTGGTTCTCATTGAAGTCCATTATATGGAGAAAAATCCTGGAATGTTTTCATCAAAAACCTTAATTTCTTTTCGACTGAGGAAAGAAAGACATGGACATCTTGGATGACATGGGGGTGAGTAAATTATCAGCAAAAGTTCTTTCAAAAGTGAACTAATCCTTTAAGTTTTATACGGCAAGCTTTTAACCACTGACATCATAGATGGAAAAGACCATTTACACAGGAAATAAATGGTTTTCAAAGCTTTTTGACAGTTATTGCGCCACCTGTGGTCCGATCTCTATAAAATTTGGCGTGTTTCTTCTGCATGTTATGTCACACATGCTCATCTATTTTTGTGTTTTCCTTTAGGATTTATAGGCTTTTGGGTGTATTTTGTCACTAAATGATCCTATCACAGATGCAAAAGATCAACTTTTTTCCGATAGTTATTGATCTTGCCTTTGACTGGTTTGGTTCCGATCGGGTGATAAACCCGACTAGTTCGCAAAAGTAGGTTTCGGACAAAATTCGACAGAGCAGAACATTTTTACTGCCTAAATCTAAACTGTAGCCAACTTTGATTCTACGACAAACGGTCTAGGAGTTGTGTAGCGCCACCTATGGGCCAGTCGGGTCATACTCTGATAGGTTCTCCCCAAATTCTTCAAGTCTCTAGCTCTTACGATCAGTTTTACGAAGCACTTTGAGCCTGAACCCCTCATGAATGCATCTTTTAAAGTGTCTATTCATCGAAGAACCCCGAAAAATACAATGCTTCACCATTTCCACAACACTGATAATAATCATAAATGTTTCTTGATCCTCATATTAGAGTGATTTCTGAAGGATCATGTGACACTGAAGACTGAAGTAATGATGATGTATATTCACATAGAAAACAGTGCAATAATATTTCACAATTTTTTTGTGAAAAACATTAAAAATCCTTTCCACCAGGATGAGATCTTGAATTTTATCATCATCATCATTACTTTGTGGGCGGCAGTGGCTCAGTGGTTCATGTGGGTTGTCTACAAACCGAAAGGTTGGTGGTTCAATCCTCGGTTCCACCTGACCAAGTGTCGAGGTGTCCATGAGCAAGACACCTAACCCCAGCTGCTCCCGACGAGCTGGCTGGCGCCTTGCATGGCTGACACCGCCGTCGGTGTATGAATGAGTGTGTGAATGGGTGAATGTGAGGCAAATGTAAAGCGCTTTGGTGGCCATTAGGTCTATGAAAGCGCTATATAAATGCAGTCCATTTACCATTTACCATTTATCCGTCGACACAAATGCGCAGAGTCGGCATCATCACAGCTGCGAGACCATGATGACGAGTGTGTGGATCTGGAGAGAATCCGCTGGAAGGCTGGCCTTCAGAAGCGGCGCTGACGTTTATTTTCATAATCATCTGTAATTGCTTTGCCTTCATTAATGTTTCATGAGCATCGGTTCAGGAGGAACACACGTCTGCTTTCATTCCTCCCTTTCTCGCTCTTTAATTCCCTCCAATGTACATCATGTGCGGAGATGTTGTGAAGTTAAACTCGTTAAGCGCGTTAGTGGAGTAATGTTCACGTGTGGATGATGCAATAAACATTAACCCTTTATTATAAGACATCTGTCCCTCGAGCCCTACAATTACACTTCTTCTTTTCTGTCCAGAAATTTTATTTTATTTCATTTTGATCATATTTCTTATTTTATTTACCTTTAAATGACTAGATTTGATCAATAAATAATAAATAAATAGTCATTTAAGCACATTCTTTCAATTGAAATTCAAAATAGCTCACAATTTCATGCATAACCCTTTTAATTCAGTTTAAAATATCTTGCATTGTGTGTGTGTGTGTGTTCAAATACACATGTAGACATTATTAAAAAGGAGATTTTAGGTGAAGTTTGAGCGTTGTGAGCATGTCCGGTTCGCCTCTGTTCTGAAGCGTTCTCAGATTGAGCCGTGAGGATTTATTTCTCTTTTTAATATCAACCTCAAAACCCCATTCAATTTTGTGTGTGTTCGTGGTTCAAATCTCGGACCCTCCGGTGAACACTCGGGGTAAAATGAGCCGAAGCTGAAACTGTGTTCGGATGCATGAGAACTCGGATCAGCTTTTCCCCCTGACACACTTCATCAGGATCTGTTGTGTTGACCTTTGACCTGTCGTCCGTTCTCTCTGCTGACCCTGGTTCTGTCTGATTGTGTTTCAGAGCTTCTTCGAAGGACAGGCGGCGCCGTGGGACTCGGCCAAGAAGGACGAGAACCGGATGAAGAACCGTTACGGGAACATCATCGCATGTACGTAGAGAAGCGTGTTCCTCCGAGCGTGTGTGTGTGTGTGTGATGAGAGTCGCTCTTACAGCAGAGATTCACACACACACACACGCAGCGTCAGTGGTCATTATGAAAATGAGCTATAATAATTAGGATGATTTTTCTGGACGTTGCTGTAAGAGTTTTCCCAGGAGCCGCGAGATGTGTGTGTGTGTGTGTGTGTGAAGCGGGGTGACTTCAGTGTCCAGACGAACCAAACTTAGACATAAACAGAAAAGCAACACTGTTCAATCTCACCGTCTCTGGCATTACAAATGCACTTCTGGTACTTTTTGTGATCAGGTCTCACTCCACTTTTACACCTTTCCTTCTGGCAACCAGTCCCAATGTAATATAATATAATGTGTGTGTGTGTGTGTGTGTTTTCAGACGATCACTCGCGTGTGCGACTGCAGCCTCTGGACGGAGAGCAGAGCTCCGATTACATCAATGCTAATTATGTTGATGTAAGTACAAGTACACACACCAGCCAGAGCTTACATTACAGGTCAAAGTGTGTGTGTGTGTGTGTGTGTGTGTGTGTGTGTGTGTGTGTGTGTGTGTTTTAACTCTCTCAGTCAGTATCAGGATCACAGCTCCTCTTATTCTTGTCTCGTCTCACCAAACACACACACACACACAGAGAGTTAATCCAGACGCACGTCAGCAGATTTAGGATCAGATTTTCCCGCCCCAGATGTAAACACACACGACACCTGTGGGTTTGCACACACACGGCTGTGTGTTATATTAGATTATTTTATATCATGTGATGTGTTGTATAGTTAATACATATTTGTATTAGAGATTGCTGATACTTCACTCTGGGACATCTGAATATTTCGTGTCCTTTGGGAACTGGTAACGGTTAAAGTTGATGGTTTTAAAAAATCCCATCATTATAGAGTCTCAGACACCAGCGAGTGTGTGTGTGTGTGTGTGTGTGTGTGTGTGTGTGTGTGTGTTCTTCCTCAACACATCGATTAAAAAACACACATTGTTTTAAATATCTTTGAACATCCACATAGAAATGAAGTCTGACATGATGATCAATCAGTGATGGTGGAGTGAACGTTCCCGGCGTTCCCAGCATTCCTGGCGTTCCCCGTGTTACCAGCGTTCCCTGTGTTCCCGGCGTTCCCAGCATTCCCTGTGTTCCCAGCGTTCCCTGTGTTTCCAGTGTCCCCGGCATTCCCGGCGTTCCCAGCGTTTCCAGCATTCCCGGCGTTCCCCGTGTTACCAGCGTTCCCTGTGTTCCCGGCATTCCCGGCGTTCCCCGTGTTCCCAGCATTCCCGGCGTTCCCTGTGTTCCCAGCGTTCCGGCATTCCCAGCGTTTCCAGCGTTCCCTGTGTTTTCAGCGTTCCTGGCATTCCCGGCATTCCCAGCGTTCCCCGTGTTACCAGCGTTCCCTGTGTTCCCGGCATTCCCAGCGTTCCCCGTGTTCCCAGCATTCCCGGCGTTCCCTGTGTTTCCAGCGTTCCCCGTGTTCCCAGCATTCCCGGCGTTCCCTGTGTTTCCAGCGTTCCCGCATTCCCAGCGTTTCCAGCATTCCCGGCGTTCCCCGTGTTCCCAGCATTCCGGCATTCCCTGTGTTCCCGGCATTCCCAGCGTTTCCAGCATTCCCGGCGTTCCCTGTGTTCCCGGCATTCCCTGTGTTCCCAGCGTTTCCAGCGTTCCCGGCATTCCCCGCGTTTCCAGCATTCCCGGCGTTCCCTGTGTTCCCGGCGTTTCCAGTGTTCCCGGCATTCCCGGCGTTCCCAGCATTTCCAGTGTTCCCAGCGTTCCCGGTGTGCTTCTGTTGCTCGTGTCGCTCAGGCTTTGAGGAGGCAGAAGTAGAAGCGGGTCAGAACCATCAGCTGTTCTATGGTACATGGACTGCATTTATACAGCGCTCTCACAGACCCGTCGGAGCAGCCGAGGTTAGGGGTCCTGCTCATGGACACCTTGAAGAGATGAGATGAGGAAGAGGAGGAGGTGATGATGAAGAAGAGTGTGGAGATTCTTCCTCCTGAGCTTCACTGGGAAATGAGATTCTTGACGTATGGAAAGAGTGGATTATCCGAATCCCACAGACTCTGAGCCTCTGCTCCATTATTCCCGAACATAATCCCACAATCTGTGCTGGAGGCGTTACTGTAGATATGTGCAGTGAAGGAGAATACTGTGTGTGTGTGTGTGTGTGTGAATGATTAGATATATAATATTACATTATTGATAATTATATTTAAATAATTGTTAATATAATTTAAATATCAGATAATTGAATAATTTATTTAATCTTGCTAAAATGTTATTTTTTCTATAATATGATGTTCTTGTTTCCTGTGCAGGGCTACCATCGACCCAACCACTACATCGCCACACAAGGTGAGACACACACACTCATTACTTTGTGTTGTTGTGTGTGAGTGTCTCATTACACTCACACACACTCTCTCTCACACACACACTCTCTCTCTCTCTCTCTCT